CAATCATTGCTCGGTGACATAATTAATATGACAACTGGACGCTGGCACTGGGGGTAGCAACCGCTCGATTTCGTCAAGTTTGGAGCGGTTGCCAACGACCGGCGCGGATTTAACAAAACAAAACAAAAAAAAAGACAAAGTGAAACGCGTTGGGACCGCTTTGCGCCGTCTCTGTCCCTCAAGTGCAGAAGCGCCCTGCTCGGTCTGCGGGCGGATCCGCGGTGCTTGCTTGGCCGCCCCTGTTATTAACACGCGAGATCTTCTTGGTGCCAGCACTCACTTTAAAAATCTAGATATGTTTTTTTAAAATCCCGCTTTACAGAGTTAAAACTGCTGGTGTTAATTTTTTAAAAAAAAAAAGAAACACAAATAGTTCAGAGTTTCGTGTTTTTGTTTCTTTAATTTGGCGCTCCAGCCCTGTGTGCTGTATTAAAACACAGGACTCGGTTTTATAACGCCATTGGCGGGACCCCGAATCTAAAGCGATTAAAAAGAGTGTCACACTGCGCTGCAGATCAAAGAGCAGGAGAGCCGATCGCCCGCGAGGTCTCTGAGCAGCTCGGACGGACAACAGTCACACTTCCTGATCTTTCAGACCCCTTCCCCACGCAGCGCCTGTTTCGCCGGCTCGAGAAGTTTCCGAAACACCCCTCCCTCCGCCCCGAGCTCTAGCCCTCCGGACACGGGTCCGAGCGGGACGGCGAGCCTGGGCGTGTAACAGCATCTTTCACCGGGAGCGCGCGTCGCCCCTCGTGTCCTGCTAAACCGACATTACTTTTTATGAAAACATTTCGAACAACAGAGGTCATTTTTGTATTTTCCTTGTTGTTGTTTTGGGGTGGGGTGGAGTGTGTGTGTATTTGGGGGGGGGACATTTTCTATAAATCACATCAATTATAAACTGAAGAAAAAAACCCATCCCCGAAAACAGACCAATGTTGGAACTACTGTCCACAGCTGTGCGAGTAGCCCCACTCGCCACGCGGGGACCGTGGGCACCCCGGGCGGCGGCCGGCACCTTGCTCCCGACCTGCGGGGACTGGAGACGGGTCCGAGGCTCGTGTCAAAGCTGACCCCACTGGAGGGGAAGACCCTCAGAGCTGCCTACTGCACACACGCACACACACACAGAGAGAGAGGGAGAGAGAAAGGCTGCTGACAGCCCACCGCGTCGGCGCATCTCCCTTCGCGACTGTGGAAATACCTCTGCGAACCCAGTCACTGGCCCCGTGTAGTCATAATTCCAGCGGGAGAGCGGAAGAATGACGCCTATGGCTTCCTTCAGTGTCTGGCAATGTCTGCTTTGTATTAGAACTCCTTTTCCGATAATTGACCAGGGGCTGCGCAGCGACACGCGGGACGAATGGCCTGGATGCACACAGACGGGAGTCGTTCACAGTCATTATTTCTGCTCCTTTTTTCTCTTTTCCAGAGAGAGCGATTAGCAGCTGATAAAGACGGAATAATAAGCGTGTTGACCAAATACGCAGAGAAAGGGCGACAGCGCGCAGGGAAGCTCTTTCTTTTATTGACTTTGTTAACCACTTCGAGAGAGGCGGCAGGTGCTGCTCTCCAGGTGCGTCAGGCGTGGAATCCCCTGCAGCCATCGGAGCCATTTAGTAAATTAATTCTTTGGCATGAGGTCTGGGGAACATCCTGTGACTTGTTGAAGCAGGTAGCGCGCTGCCGGGAGACGGCCCTCGGGGGCCCCCTAGCGGCGCTGGGGGGGATCGGCGTCTCCGACCCTCGGGAACGACTCGTCCAGCCTCCGTCAGCCTGAATCCGTCCCCGATAAAGACGACACGGAGAGAGAGAGTGCTTAATGACAAGACAACCATCATCCCCACCACCAGAAAATTGTTTTCTGTAGGATCTCGATCATTTTAATGTTTGCGATACAAACGTAAGAACACAACAGAAATGGTTCTTCCGCCATATCTCCCTGCAGCTCACCGCTGGCAGCCCCCTGAAGCCCAGCAGGTGCGAGTCTGGCCAGTACCTGGATGGGAGACCTGCTGGGAAAGCTAAGGTTGCTACTGGAAGAGGTGTTAGTGGGGCCAGTTAGTGGGGCTCACCCTGCGGTCTGTGTGGGTCCTAATGCCCCAGTGTAGTGACGAGGACACTGTACTTGTAAAAAGACGCGAGGTAAAACCGAGGTCCTGACTCTCTGCGGTCATTACAAATCCCAGGGCGTTTCTCGAAAAGAGTAGGGGTGTTAGCCCGGCCTCCTGGTCAAATTTCCCCCTGGCCTTTACCAGTCATGGCCTCCTAATAACCCCCATCTCTGAACTGTCTCCATCACTCTGCTCTCCTCCCCACTGATAGCGTGTGTGGGGAGTGTACTGGTGCACTCTGCTCTCCTCCCCACTGAGAGCTGGTGTGTGGGGAGTGTACTGGTGCACTCTGCTCTCCTCCCCACTG